CAGCAGTAAATCAATTGTTTAAATTCATTGTTATATCGTTCAAATTGCCTTGACTTGCATTGTTACACAGGCGTTCGTTGACGATGCTGAACCTAAAGTTGCAAGTATAAGAGATAGAGCTACGAAATTGGATGAGGAGCTTAAACAATTGCTAGTTTATTACGGCGAAGATCCTTCAGTGACAAAACCAGAGGATTTCTTTGGGTTAATTGTCTCCTTTGCGTCTTCGTTGGCTGTAAGTAGAAATATATATACATAGTCTGCTGCAGCAGTGAAATGATTATAAATTAAATGTTAACGCCATACATAGAAAGCACGGAAAGACAACGAAGAATTGCGGAGGAAGGCCGAGAAGGAACGTGAGAATCAAGTCTCATCGCGAATGGTAATTTTTTTCCCTATTATCTACATATACTTTTAATACATTTATTTAATTTTCCCAACTTTGATAAAAGCAGTCCAGTCGTCGTCAGTCAGACACAGCGAGTGTTTCATCATCCCTTGCTGGCAAAGGCGAACTTGATGAAACGATCCAACAACTCCGTGCTGGTCTCCGGAGGAGCCGCGGTCGTCCTGTATCCAGGGTATTCATGGAAATACACAATGAAGAAGGACATCAGTTTGAAATATCATATGATCATACACGAGATAGATCTTCATATATAGCCCATCATCGTGAGAGATCGTCGTTTGTGGGTCATCAGCGAGAGAGGACATATGAAGTGCGATAGTGAGATAGCATGGGGAATTCGAGCGAATTGATTTGCCAAAATGGGAGGTGAATAAGAACTTTACGTGTTGCATGAACATTGAGTTGGGTCGGGTTCTGGTTTGTCGTATTTTAAACCGTCATTGATTTAATAATTCTTGACGATACTAATTTGCGAAAGTACTTGTATAATAAATGAACACTCAAGGTACAACTTGCAGAGTTTTAATTTGAGATATCTTACGCTTTGAACAAATTTGACGTCTATCATAAGCTATCCATAAATGTACATGGAAATTTACCGTTTAATAATCACACTTCTTCTCTACGATGCCCTTTCCATGTTCGTCATATTCCTTGCGTGATATCCATAGTTGATGAAATGTGCCAAGAGAAGCAAGAATAGATCCACCTAACCATGAACTGCATTTTCGTTCCATGCTGTTGCCCGGAGCATGTATTCTTACTTTCATCTAATTTGTACAATACGTTCGTAGACAGTGCATCAGATTATATTATATAGAACCGGATTAAACAAACAGTATTCAAATTCATCAATTACCCCAGGTACTTTCGGCGCCACTTCGTGATATAACCTATCCACAAAACCCGGGAATAGCGTACTTCCTCCAGTGACAATGAGATTGCTCATCATCGCCGGCCGAGCGTCTATGTCGCAAGTCACGAGACTATTGAATATCATGTGGTGGATACCAACACATGGCGACGTGTCTACTGTAGGCTCTGGAGACTTATGTCGCGATTCACATAAAAAAGATGTGTCAGTTGCCAAAAAAGGTAGTTAATATGCCAAAGCAGCCACTAGCATACCGGTATTATAAACTCAGATGATGGTTGGAACAGAATTTCGGGGGCTCGGAATCGCTCTGTGCCAAAGGACGTGTTGTAACCGTCTGGAAACTCAAATGTTTTCATCGGGCGGGAGGAAATAACCCTGCGAAAGGATAGAATTAGCATGAGTTGACGTGAATCGAAAGCTCTGATATAAACTTGATCCATCATTTCATTAACTTACTGCTCGTTATAGGTAGACTCGTATAGCTGACATACCGATTCTTTGTATTCATGAACTATTTTCTGAGTAAACAAAGAGAAAATTAATAGCTACATGTAATGTCAAAATATCCCATTGTCTACTTCGCTTCACTCTTTCCTGCACGGAGATCCCTCTCAACGCACCATCAGCATGTACTTATGGAAACTCGCAGTTGTATTGGGACGATTTCTTAGAATAACATTCGCCGGCTGATCAGGGTCAACATAATTCTTCTTCTCCACCAAATACTGCGGAACCGGGTTCAGATTAAGTTGTCCGAATTGTAGCAGAATCTGCTCGTTGATAAAGTCCCCAGCAATGGGTTGCTTTATGATGCCTATTAAAAGGTTAAATAAGTAAAAGGTCGCTTATAACTATATATCAGGTGAGATGCCTGTGAATTATTGGCACCTTTCTTAAGGACGAAACCGTCATAAACTGGGGTAACACTAGTCACAGCAGCTCCGCAATCTAAAATCATAGCAGTCGGACGGCCAGATGCATATCTAAGTCATTCAAACAAATCGATAGTTAACAATGATGCAAACCAATGTGATAAATGTATCACCCAAGAAGAATTTCCCTGAAAAAACCTACATACGCAGTGAGCACCGGATTTTTAGCAACATAGAAAGCCGGTGTTTCATATTTCTCGAATGCAAGTTCAATGAGTTTCTCTCTATGTTCTCGCGTATTCCACGCAACTTCGGACACGAGTAATGGATGTTCTCGTGGATCAACGTGAAGTCGCGATTTCAGAGCATAATCCCAGATTTGCTCTAGCGCGTCCCAATCTTCAACTATCGCAATGATCAAACACAGCACTTAGTAATTTCTTCACATTCTTTCTTCCTCCCTTCGTTATAACACCACACTTGTAATTCAATTTCTCATTATTCAACATACGTCATTCCTTACCTAACCCGTCATTAAGTGGATTTTTAACCTCCATATTGGGTCGCCACACGTTTATCTCTCCATCTCCAAGATAATATTTTCCCTTTGGTTTTTTTATATTGCTGACATCGGTATCAACGGCCTGATTATCACGGACTTTATCTTCACTCTCTTCCTCGGGAAGATATCCATAAGCGGTGGGAAACACAGCTTTCGGACAGTCTTCACCTGCATAACCGGCACGTGTCCAGGCAGTACCGACATCAAGGACTAACGCTGTTACTTCGTCTGCAATGGAGGAAGAAAAGGATTAGTCGGGAAAGGATACAAAAGAAAAAAAAATACGAGAATGGAGAAAACGAACATCCGCCGAAAGTCGCCGCCATCGGGAAAAACGTGCGCGATTGACGGTTGCGCAAGTATAGTGGTAGTAGTTGAATTCATTTTTTCGGACCCATTTCTTAGGTCATGTGTTTAGGTTTTGAATTATTTATTATTACTAGTGGTGTAACAAGCAATATAATAATAAACAGTAACAGCCAGCTTTACAAAATCAATTATTGGCATCTTAAAATTAGAACATGAGGGAATTTGGAAAATACTATCAGGCAAATCACCATATCATGATCTCATTCCAAGTATCTTGGAGCTGAAGAAAGCACTCTGCTATACCTTGTATCTAGACAATTGATTTCGAAAATAGCGATTCAGTGGAATGGCAGAAGATTCAACACGTGTCAGACCAAACAAACTCTCAGTAACTTCTATGACAACGTTTGCAGTCTGTCACTCTAAAATTTTGCAGATGACGTTACCTTAGTATTAGCGAGTAAAGAAAATAATCATCATACCGTGTGAAATTGCTTTGCAATGTGTTTAAAGCGTAAAAGTCAAAGTTGTGTCGACAAAGTCTATTCGCAATTTATGATGATAATGAATTGGCTTGAAAAAATAGATTGGCATTGGGCCCAAGTATTAATAATCTCTTTTACGCTTTATTATTAATTTGTTCCATCGATATGTTTTTTATATTCTACATCTTCTTATTTGAGACAAATACTGATGCGACGACGATGTTTTGCCGAAAACTATAAGCTGTCCTGCATCTAGTGAGACTAAGATGTTGAAATGTTCAATTTTCCGTTCGTTCTCAAGGAGGTTTAACAAATGATAATGCTCTGATATAAGAAATTTCTAGGTCTAGCCCTTCAAAGGCAAATGCCTTGATTGAGGTGACCGAGACCATTCAAAACCATTTATCCTCTAATTCTTTCGAACCTATCTCTACGTCACGATAACAGCACGTGTCTTTTCGGTCTCTCAACCCTTATACCAGGTTTAATGCTTCCGAGGTTTGGCCACATAAACCCATATCGATGTGAAATATTCTAATCTCATTGGAAACAGAATGCATGTTTCTGACTTGGCAACCGTCAACAAACAATAATATCACAACGCTGAGTACATTTGGTAAATATTTCGGATCAGACGAGACATTTATCATTCAGTTGATTAATAGCTTTAGAAGAAGACTGATGTTGTTGTATACCCGAAATGGTTCCTACTAAACACAATTCATGATCATTGTCAATAATATAGTGTATAGAGTAAATTTTCGAGGATCAAACGACAATAGACATCAAGTCACTCTATCTGTAATTAAGATGTTCAAATAGTGATAGGTTTGACGACGCGATTTTCACCTTGAACATTTTGAGTGAGGGTTTCTTGATACCGTGTGCTCACGCTAAAAAAATTAAAAAATCGAGTTAGAACAATTGAGGATATTAGGAAGAATGCAAATTTCCACCAATATGATTACTCTTCCTACGGTGCCAACAATTAGGGCAATAACGGTATTAGTCGTGCTGACATAAAAATGATTATGGTTAACGACCTCAGAAGTTTCAATTTGGCACCACCTTTGTGAATTTGCTAACAATTACAATTGTGTGCTCTCTCTCTCTCTCAAACGGTAATTCGACATTAAATCTGTTTCATATCGCTGCTCACTGTCATCGACATGAGCCGCCGTCCCAGTTCTTGTCAAGACATATCACAGCAATCTAAACAATCGTACAAAGATCATGGAAGTGGTAAGTTCCTGATTTTAGATGAGACCTATTCTAACGCTAATTTTCTAAATCGTCTTCACGAGTAGGTTTTCGCAATGAACATCTAGCCATAGCAACGGAAGCATTTGTTCATATTATGTGTCTATTAAAAACGGGCTTTCGACTCAATAGCATAACAAGTTAAATAAATGAAATTCACAGCTAACATTACATTCCTTGGCTTGTTTCTGTAAAGTTCCCTCGAGTTCCTGTTAAATATCGTACATCAAAGAGTTTATCTCCTGCATATTCGCCATCGATCTTCGGTGATTTCTCGGCCGAGTTTTCATCCGCTAGCCTCTCTTCTTCCTCATAGACATCCATCTCAATAAATCCTGACTCCTCTCGCTCCAATTGGTTTACTACATCCATCATATCGTCTACCGTTATTACACTCTTTTCTTCAGGTGGAAGTGAATTATCTTCGAAACTGACATCTTTCAACAGCTTGTCTGCACCCATCTCAATTTGAGCCTCCTGCCATTTCTGTTCGGCCATTATTTTAACCTCATCAAATTCACTGCTTTGATCTTCACTCAACATACTATTTCCTTGCTGTAAACAACATTCTAGGAGTATCCTCCTTAACCCATCAACACGATGTATTTTGGTTATCATACCATCTTCCATTTCAACCTCCTCATCACCTACGGCCGCTTCTAATAATTCCCTTAGCTTCCGTAATCCACTAGAAAATCCACCAGTTCTCGAGATTCGATGTACACCCAGTATTATTACTTCTGACGTTTTCAGGCTGGGACGCATATGATAATACTTTGTCATCATGTCATATATGACCAGCGCAGCGGAAAAGTCTTGCTGACGGATAAATGATCGTAGAATAACATTGCATGCAGGCAATGTCGGTTGAATGCCCGACGAATGAAGAAGAGAAGAGATTAAATGGCGTGGAACAAGACGATCGAATATGACAGGTTCTAGTGATGATGTAGCTTCAGATATGAGTATGTCCATCTGCGGCAAATGAGAGCATATTAATTGGTATAAAATACTTTCATTCTCGTACAGCTTCGCTTGTCGAGCCAATACCCGTGTTCGTCTATCATACTCCACTAATCGACGTGCTCTATTGTCTATTGCCGTGAATAGTGAAGCAAAGGTAAATATATCTACATTTAGATCAGGCATCAGTTCAAGTGTTTTGTAAATAATGGCTGCTGCGTTGTAATTCTTCATCCTCACATTCAATGCAAGTAGCATATTGTACGTATAACTATCTGGTTTGATACGTTCTATTTGCAGTCTTCGTAATATTTCCGCGATAACGCGAACGTTAAATAAATCAACGGCAGCGCTTAGTATTTCATTATACACCCTGACGTCAGGACGAAAACCACTGAAATACATTTTATCAAGCCATACCAGCGCCTTTGTGATATCTTTAGAATGGCTGAATGCTTGTATCATAGTCATATACAGCGTGCGCTTATCCAAATCACTATGTAACATCGACTCGAACATATTCTCGGCTACTTCTGCTTGGAAAAACTTTGCCAGTTGATATAGTATCGAAAAATAAATCCTCGGGTCTGAACGACTGTTTCCTGGTTCGTTTAGGCTTTCAAGCTCTGCCTTAAAGACACGTGTAGCTAAAGGAAGATGTCTGAAGAGTATGCTCATTGTTGCTATGGTAGGCGTCTTCCCTTTAGCAACCATATCCAGGTAAACTTTGGCAGCCGTATGAACATCATTGACAGAAGCAAAGCTTTGTATGATAGAATCATATCCTTTCGCGTCCATGTCGATTTCCTTAGTCACCATCAATTGATATATACATCTCGCCCTTTCAATATCCTTCACTTTATGACATCCGTTTATCAACAAGGTGTAGGTAAATTCATTTGCGTTGTCGCCCATCTTTTTTAGGACTATTTCCGCCGAATTCAAGTCCTCTAATTGTAAATAAGCCTCGATCAAATGATTGTAAGCGACAATATCAAACGAGGGGGGTCTCAAATTGTCAAAGACGAGAATAGCATTTCTCGGATAGTTCAAATCCAGCCACGCTTTCATGTACCAATTATAGTCTCTGCTGGTAAATCTGATGTTTGCTTCTCTCATATCATCGAATAACGTCACCAGATTATATGCAGTTGATTTAGAGTTTAAAGAGTACTTTAAACGATTTCGAAGAACCACAAAATATGCACGCGGTATCCTTGAAAGGTTACGCGGATCTTTTCTGATTGTTTTATAAATGCTCCATGCTCTTTGATAAAGGGGCTCGCGCAGGGCATCAGTAAATTCATCGAGTCGGTATGCAAATGTAGTCAACTCATCCTCATTCATGTCGCTATATTTGTCTGCCACCCCAACATCCTCGCACCAAGTTCTAAAGGCTTTTAATATGTTCTCACTGCTTGCCATTTCCGATGTCGGTTCCACAACGAAGCTAACCTCCATATTACTGGTTGGCATTTGTGAAAAGTTTCCAACTGGTCTGGCTGATGGTCTGCCGAAAGTTCTATGATATCTACATTGAAGACGATGTGGTGTTATTATTATCTTGGATAAAAATTCGGTTTTGAGCATAGACCTCTTGCATGATCTGAGCGCGTAAAATGACCAGCGAAGCATCTTCTGATGTGTTACAATTGAGGCATCTGCAACATTTTATATGTGACATAAATGAGAGGCTGGTGTGGCTGGAGGTTAACTAATTTGACGAATAATGGCTTCATATTATCAACTAAATTTCTGCGTTAGTGAAAGATAGATTGTTTAATTTAATTGACATATGTCTTTATTAGAATAATTCTCTTGCGTCCTCATAATGATAGTGAAGAGTATTAATTGAGTTATGGCTACATTTTACTTGACTTTTCCGGGATAAAGTATATAATATGGGGCAGACTGCAACAAAACCAGACAAAGTGAACATTTTATAAATAAAGGATTGATTATGATGTGGTTGTAAAATTGACTCGGATGACTATGACATTTTGTAAACAATAATGGTGCTCATTCATAAGTTTTATGGCTTGTTAATCTTATGTTCACTTTATTACACAGTGGCTCTCGATATAATGATCCCTCGATAATATGGGGCAGACTGCAACAAAACCAGACAAAGTGAACATTTGATTATGTGACATAAATGAGAGGCTGATTATG